TTTCAGAGGCGAGACGTCGAACGTGTTGGCAGAGGCCACAGGCTTGTCCCGTTGCAGACCAGCAAAGCCTAGACTCGCCGGAGGGTTAGGGTAGATTTGGTTGGAGTGAACTGCTTGAACAGGACCAGTGACTTGGTTATTCGTGAAATTTGTCGTGGTAGCGTAAGGACCAAGATTGGGAAACTGAAACGCTGTATTGCCATTAATTGCTTGCAGGTTACAGGTGTTGGTGGCTGAAATATTGTAGTAGGAGCTGTGCGACGGTTGTTCCTGCTGTTGCTGCTGGATATTTTGCCGGTCTTGAATTAAACAGAACGTTTGTACATCCGGAGGCTTAAAGTAGGGCTGCGGTATCAACGTGACCCCGGAATTGTTGTACTGATCACCGGAAAAGGAGCCATGAGTGTACGTCGAGGAAGCAATTAAAAAGGAAGCAGTTGGCGTTGGTGGCGGGGCACTATTCGTTGTATGATCGTATAGTATCAGTGGTTTCGGATTGTAGGATAACTGTTGCTGAATGTGTTGCTGCTGCTGCTGCTGCTGTTGGCAATATTGCTGATTGCGTACGAGTTTATTCTTCGGTGGCCATCTGCTGCCTTTGCCTATATTCATGGATGGGTTTGTACGAGAATCTTAGAAAACTGAAATCATTATTCAACATAAGTACGTCATTCGATACTAGGCTCAATTAACGTAAGTAATAATCCGATAATAATTTCATATTTTATCAAATTTATCTACATGCATCTATTCTCTATTTATTCTTATAGATCAAACAGAAGATTCCGGAATAAAGAAAATATAAGTATAACGAAGAAGCTTCGTTGATTGATGACGAAATCAGGAGTTTCAAGAGTCACAATGAAAGAGATTGGAAATGGGTAATTATCGAGGTAAAAGAACGATCGTGTATTTTATTCGTTTGAGAATGAACCGATATCATCGTGGTATCTTTTTAGGTGGGATACGATGAGTCTAAAGGAAAACGTATTTACACCTTGTATATGCAAAGGAGCAGGATTAGTCGGACCAGTATTACGCTGCGCTGCTGGATAAATACACGTGGAGTGTACACCGCTTCCACATGGTTGAAGAGCTAACGCCGGATTAGCGACAGGACCATAAAGAATTTGTTGTTGCTGTGGGTGTACGAGGGACGACTGGGTTGACGTGGACGGAATCGAAGATTGTATGGACGATTGATTAGCTCGTGCGGCTGTAGGGTGCATGATCCACCTAACCCCGACTTGAAAACGATCCTCTCGTTGGCTTCTCGCTTTTCAACGCCTGTGTAAAAGAATAACGTGCTCAGAGTACATTTATCCACTAAGCCTCGCCTATTTGTAATTTTGAACCAATTCGTAAACGCATTCACACGCGATATCGCGTTCCGTATTGACGTAAAACCGAAGAAAAATGTTCTTAACAAATCGTACATGTGTGTATAGTCAACGTGTCGTACAAATGAAATGAACCTAGCCACTATGTCAGCTGTTATCCGACACGTCACTAACCTAAGAACATTTTCCTCTGATTTATACCTCATCGGTAGGAAATTTTCAACGGTTTTCGCTTTACCTGTGCTTCAAGTGCTCTTTTACTTTTCTTGAATTAATCATTTGGGTTTGAACATTCGGGCTATAAGATACAACGACGACGTGGCAAGTCACGAAAAGTAAAAGAACGTCTTCATAGGGACGGCAGGTAACGTGATAAAATCATATTGGACTTAATTAAGTACATACAGGAAAATCAGATAAATGAAAGGATTTAAAACTCTTAACGAATGAACTTGCGGTTGAATTCAAGAATTCGATGCCAATCCACGAGTTTCCAAAATCGTTTCACTCGTTTTCTCGAGTTAACAAATGTACATGTTATCGTTTATTTTTGTTTTTCTCGTTCTTTATTCACGGAAACGAATCGGAATTCCTTGCAAACGAGAAATGACCAAACTTATATGTACATATTGAAAAGCAAATGGTAATCTAAGAAACGAAAAGTCAACGAACACCGCGAAGAAAAATGGCAGATTACTGGCTGTTGATCTAAAACAAAATTCTCTGCTCGGAACAATGAAACGAGCGAAAAAATTTGACGCACGGTTCAGCAGTTCTTAATCCGTTCGTTAATTCCGTGTAAATACCAAGTAGTATATACACATGTGCTATAAAATTATTATACACGAAAATACGTGTCTTACGTACAAACGTGTCGTGAATAACGAAAATTAGAAAATTCTACGCGTGTATTTACAATTTCAGACAGAAATCAAATTACAATGAATTTTATTTTCTTCAGATACAAGTAGTGTAAATCGCGCTGGACTATCTAATGTTCCCAATTTTTCTCGCGTATAAAATGTTCCATCGAGATTGAATCCGATAACAGCTTCGAGGAAAGCAATTAATGTAAAATTGATTCTCTGCTCGTATATGTACGAATCGTTTTATACATCATTCGATAGGATAAAGGAAAATAACAGACCTCGTTTATTCCGCAACGGCAACCCTGATATATTTTTCTCGCTTCGCACAAAAACATATCATACAGATGTCTTTTCGCGAAGGTTGTCACAACAGTTGCGTAATTGTTATATGTGTAATATCATTCTTAAGCTCTACGCAGAAAATTGTCGAGTGAACACAACGTGACTGTCGTCACACCTTCAGCACCTAAATTGGAGATTTTTCAAGAAGAATTATGCATGATCGAGGAGTGCTCGCCAAGCTGTTCGACATATCGCAAAAAGTACCAAAAGTCAAACCGTTCCTGAATCCCTGTACGATTTTTTCTCTTTTTTATCGAAATTTCAAGTGGATATCACCAAGTGGAGAATGTATATAAACAATTTTGAGCGATATTCTTATCGATAGAGATATTTTTTTCTTTTCTCTTTTTTCTTTTTTTATAAAATATTTTTTCATATATTTCTTTCAACGATTGGAAGTGGTGCGTTTCACGATCCTCCTATAAACGATTTTGCTAACGATTAGGAGTAATGATTGGTAATCTTAACTTTTCTCCTTGATATATTTCACTTGAGGAACGTCCAGGCAGACAGGAACAGCGTGCACGTTTTATCTAAAACTACTATAGGCTTACAGTTCTGAAAGGACCCAGTGGCCGAACGAGATAAAATTTGAGGAAGGAGGATAGAGGGAATAAATTTAAAGTCTGAAATTTCAGCTTCGAGTATTTGGTCATTTCCAAATTACTGATAAAAAATGTTTAGACACTATACATTAAATTCCGCTCATAAGTGCATGTTCGTGGCAATGTATGCGTCAATTTCCGACCACTTAAACGTTTCACGTTAATCGATAACCGATATAGATAACGCACGATTAATTGGAATAAATAATATATTCTTCTGAATCGAGCGGAAATGAATTGGTACATCACGTGTGTTATGTAGACAGCGATTAGGTTAGGTTTAATAGAGTGTAGGTTCAAAGGGATAGATGCTATTCAGGATTGATAGATACAAAAGTAGATAAGACACTTTTCCAATTGCTGTTATACATATTGGTTGCTGGCCGTTGCCACGTGTATGTACATACAATGGATACAATAGCTAAACGACGATCGGGGCTGACGCATACACACCGTTACAGATACACACGAGCAAGTGAACTTCGGTGCATCGTAGCAAAGATTTTGTATCGATACGTCGGAAACTGATAAATATTCGAAGCTAAAATTTTAGTGTCAAGATATATCCCAAACTTTCCCTCGATTGGTCACTGGAGCTTTTCGGAAATCTATCCCTACTATGATCTTCAACCATTGGACAGGAGGAAGCCACTGCAGCGTCTCTAAAATTTCAAGTAAAACATATTTCCATTGAGAATTTCTTCGTTCCTTCGAGCATTTCGAGATCGCCAGCGTTTGTTTTACGAGATGTACAGTAATGTTCTAAACATACGCAGACATGTCGCGCTTTGGAAACGACGGTTTTCCTTGTCCCATACACTTTATTTATCCGCGTTGAAAGTGTGTAAGAGGTACTTCCTATGAAACGCGTCGTCTCATCCACTTTTGGCTTACTTCCGTTCCATGAGAAAATGCGAAGTCGAAGCTGCTTGCAGGTACCAACGATCTCGAACGTATCTCTTCGTGGACTGGTCGAGAGTATGAGAAATTTTCTGATAATTAATTACGAATGTATACTAGTAGAACACTGCCAAGAACACAAGACAGAATCAGAGATGTCGATGATAAAACGTTTGGTGTCGCCGTGTTACAATAGTCTGTTAAACACGAACAGACTTCTTGACGTCCACCGAAACCGCTTCTTTGGTAACACACTCCTTTATAATTCGACTCGTCCCATCCGCAACCTCTTATGACTCGGGTATCAGGTGGAACTGTTTCAAACACACGTCATACAGTTATTCTATGTTATGTAAATAATGTAAATAATACGATTATAAATAATACCGAAACTAATAAGTTAAATGTTGCATATATATTACGAATGAAGCTAGAAAGGAGGTTAGACCTAGAATAACTCGCATGAACTTGGAATTACCTGTCATTCATAGGTAAAACGAGGAATTTCGTTTAAATCATGCATGCTTTGAACTTCATTCGGGTAAACCGTTGCTACCCAATGCAATATGAATTCATTTATGGATAGGTACTGCACATAGGAACTGTCAGCTTATTCTTATTGCGAAAAGTCAATAAAAAATTTTAGTGTAAAAGTTAATCGAAAGTATCTAAAATCTCAACACTTGTACCCCCTCTTCGAAGGATCTGACATAACCTAAAATAATCTTTGAGTAAACGTAGGATAAATTATAAGAATATTCAGTTTGATCGAAGATGAAGCTAAATTTGGATTAGATTTTAGAGTAAGTAAACAAATTTTTGATTGTTATACTGCGTGGAAATTGATAGTATTATCGAATTTCATATGCCATTACTTCGAGGAATAGTTATATAAACAGTCTTCCCATTGGTAGAGATCAATGACTTTTGTAATCTGATCCACCAAGAACAGACAAGCCACTTGTGGCTATGATTGCCTCCCGAATGCACACGTATAGCCTATTGTATGTAAAGGAAAAAGTTGTTTAAAATATTGTTCTTTATCATATGTTATAAATTATAAATCATAAGTTAATCTAAAGATTTTACAAACAAGATTTTACAAACAAGGGAACGCAGAAATGTCTATGTAAAACTCTTGGAAAAATTTGTAATTCAAAGCGTCAGAGTAGTTTACCTTGTTTAAATAAACGGAACTAACGTTGTTATACTTGGCGCCGTTTGATTCAATTAATTTTTCATATTCTTATAAAGCACCTTCAATTAAAAATTTTTACCTTTCCAAAATTTGTAAGTCTGTCTTATTCAAATAAATAAAAGCAATATCATATGTAGTTGTCACTTATATCCACTAATTTTTCTTACTTTTATATTTTCGATTAAAGATTTTCTCTTCCAAACCTTTTTTCATTTTTTCAGTTGTTAAAACTCATAGTTCCTTTTTTTCCCTAGAAACATTGGATAGAATGCATTATATCCGGATGAAATTCGAAACGTGTATGACTTAAATTAAATTTTGTACTTCACTCGTGGTTTATGGGTAATGCTAAGATCACAGAGGCGATTCCAGGTCGATCCTTTCTCCTAACTTGTTAATGTTACTAACCGTAACATATATAACATCGTGTTACTTAAACTACTGTTATAGTGCAGTAAGCATTACACTAATTACGCTGCTGTAACATGCTTGACAGTATACTGTAATTTTCCACAACGTAATAAGGATACAGTATTAATCTGGGTTAATAGTGAGAGCGCACTCTAGCGGCAGATTACTGTATTAAAGTTACTAGTCTACTAAAAGCTTAGTACTATTACAGCTTCCTGTATCAACTTATCATTGGATGGTATCTTCTTTTAGAATGATACGAACGAATATACATCATAGTCGGTATATCATGATCAATAAAAAATTCGAAGATATTTCAAGTGTAGATAATTCTTTATCGCAGGAATAATTTGGATATTACTTACGTCCATTAACGCTAAACTCAATGACTTGTGTAATTTTTCGGCACATAGTATACTTTGCGCCGTTCTTGAGATCCGAGCAATCTTTTTTGAGGGCATCAGGTGGCACATCATCGGCACATCGACTATCATTGTGACTGTTACACAGGTAACATTGCATCGAGTTTACACCTAAAACATAAAAGCAATTTGGCCAAAAATTATTCAACGATTACGTTTAATTAAATTAATCATTTTAATTTTTATTTATTTCACCGACTAAAGATTGTAAAAATATCTCGCAATATTTTGTCGCAATGGATCGTTTTAATGAGACCGTTGTCCATAGAAAACATATATATAGTTTAGCAATTACTTATAACACGAGGTTGCAAGAATATTATCGGGTGACTGATAACAAAGGTCGCTGTAAAATGGAAATAATATAGTAAGTTTTATGTTAACAGGATTACTGTGTCATCTGTTCTTAAATGTGTTTTATATCACTCCAATTGAATAATTTGTAATCAGTACGCATACTGTTACTGTTTATATAGGTCAACATTTTTGACGCAGCAAAATTGCTATTAAATATTGTACATAAGATTCTTTTTATAAATTTCCGGAGTATATTTCACGAGTACAAAAATCCGGAAAGTCTCTGAAACGGTGTACATTTTTACTGAAGGAAGGTTCATTGTACCTCCGACCCTAAATGATATAAAAATCAATGCAGCTATTTGCCCTAGAAAGGCACAGCCACGATAAGTTTTCGTGCCTACCTTTTCGTTTTAATCTCGTTCCTACGATCATTCATGCTTTCAAGTGTAAGAAAATAAAATATAAATTTAATTTTCACAGTTTAAATTTATTTAAAAATGAAAGAAATAACACAAATAATTTTTAATTGTATAAATCTAACAATTTAAAATTGTCTCGAAATGTTATAACGATGTAACAAAATGAGTCACAAAAAGGAGACGTAAAAACTTAAAAAAATAGAATGGATTAAAAATTCGAGAAAATTAAAAGTGAAAAAATCATTACACTGATGTTAAATATTTTCTAGTATCGATATTAATTTAAATAAATATTTTCCATTCTTGTTACATTTCACTCGTTATATTTATAATGGACCGAGATTTTTCGCGTACATGAAAATTGCTTTGCGCAAAGCTAGTCATCATTGATCTCACTAACGTTTGCACCAGTACGTTTGGTTAAATTAAACCGCGAAATCAAATACGCTTTCCGCAGCGGACAGTTTCGATTATGTTAACCGCGTAACAATTGTTAGATATTTACATCGTCTTATAGCAACATACGATATTTCACTGCTCGTCATTATCGTTAAATCTATCGAGACACCAACACAGGTTTTAAACACTTCTCTCGAACGAGAAAGCAGGTTGATCCACTTTTCGAACAGAATGTACACTTTATTGACGAGTCCCGAAGAAAAAGGATCATAAATATAACGAACATACACGAGAAACAATGTCAACCGCGAAAAAGTTAAACTTACTACAAACTCGTACGTATCAATTAATTCCACGCATCCTAACCTTAAATCGTGTTTAAATATAACAATCAAATAAACGCGGAAGAAGACGGGAGAATAACAAAGAATATAATTAAATAATAATAATAATAATAATATAATTAAAACAAACGTCGATGCACAGTACTAATTTCGTCCAAGGCAGAACAAAAGAGAGCATAACAAATTATTACACTTAACAGACCGAACAACGCATTTCAGTGTGGTTTACGATGGTAACGTGGTAAAAAGAGTAAGGCAAAAGTCGAAAGTAGGTCTAAGAGAAGGACACGATGATCGATAGGAAGCAGTCTAGTAAATCTGTCCCGATCGTTGAACCAAGGAGCGAGCCCAGACTCGAACCCGTAAACGCTTACCATAAAAACTGAGCACGACCAATAGGCAAAAGACAAGGATGATGGAACGCCTCATGTTGTTTTCGTTATCCTGGCACGTCCTTCAACGAATTACAGCGTTTCTCGTGGTCACTGCCTTAGCGTTTTACACGCGACCGAGCGGCGCGATCGGGGTGTCGGCGTTGGAAAGAGAGAGGAAGAGAGAAAGATAGAACGCGATCGCAGATCAAGGGTTGACGAGGCCAACCATTCGACCTCGACAGCTACTGATGCACTGTTCGTACTGGCCGTCGCTCGATGCGATTGTAGCGCAAGCCCGCGAACGAAGGCGACGATGCTTACACTACCGACAGAAACCACGAATACGTGATTGCGCGCGAGTAACGTTAAGGTCGGTAAGACGAGGCGAGACGAACGGGAAAAACGGTTTCGTCCCACCGAATAACCCCAAGGCCCAAACGATCTAGCCACGGTCGAGGGAAAGCTTAGTCGATTCTTGTGCAGTCCGTGATTCCGATTTCTGTTCTACTAAATTGCCCAGGTTATTGCAACGATGCAAACGCCGCATAGCGGAATCAATATTTTTGACGGAGAGCCGGAGGAGGGATGCTGCTTTACTGGGATTGATTTCACCGTGCCTCCGTGATTACGCGCGCTTTTTGTTTCCGTTAGTCACACCATGTTCTTCGGAGTAAACTTTTCAGTAGCTTTGACACATTTAGTATTTTCAAAATAAATGTGCCCGTCAATGGTAACGTTTGATTGTGACTCATGCCGATAATTGAAACTTTTTTAATCTGCCTAACCTAAAATTTTGTTATATCATTGTAAGGAATATTGTACTTAAAATGAATTGGTGTTTCAATAGTAACAATAGTAATTCGTGTTCATAAGGAAAAAAATGTATAATACATAACTGTTATAAACTTATTATGCAATATCTTTATAAATATTAGAAGCTTCACAGGATTTTTTTAAATACAATTTTGCTTTTAACATTTCTGTGATATGGTAACATTTAAAATTAATTTTTTAAATCACATTGGAATATCTTTAATGGTAACAAATAGTTCCAGAAAAATTTCAAAATTTTTATTACAACGAAAAATAAAATTTTATCTTTTAGATTAACAATGAACAATTATCTGTTCTTTATAAAATTTTGTCAATTTTATGTTACACACAGAGAATGTATATTAAAATTGTGTAATTTATAGATAATATTGTGCCATTATAGTGTATTCTTTGAAGTAGTATAAAATTGACCAACAGATATCGTTTCGTTATTCTAAAAATCAAAAATTATTTTTTACAGGATTCACCAGGCTAGTTTATTACTTCAATCAGATTATAGCAAATTTTTTAAGAAATAGTTATGAAAAATTAATGTTACAAATTATCTAAATAGATGAATTAAATTTGTCATTAGCATGTTGAATTTTTATTACTTCCTCCCCTGGAAAATAAAGTGAACCTAAATATTGATTTTCGTTATTAATTTGGGCCTTTAATCAACGTTGACGAAAAGTACGATTGTTTTGACGGATAAGGCAGGGCTGCAGGTTAAATAGGGAAGGCCGTGGGCGGTACGTAGAGCTTTATGTTCAAATGGAGCGTAAAGTGGTGGTTTGGAACACGCTAAGTGGATAATATCCCTTTTCCTGTGACACGCTGAACGTCATGAAATGTCATGGAAGCTACTGTAATAAGTTGCACGCGAACAATAAGGAAAGGAACGTGAAGGATATCTTTTCATGATGCTATTAAATTTCTGAATCATCATCTGCTCTGACCTTTATTTTTTAAGCTCAATAGCAGAATCAATGAATATAAAATACTTATTTTCATTCTTGCTCTTATCGCTCCCTTCTCGATCTGGATGAACAAGTTTCTTTGTATTTTAATTACTTCCTTAGAAAAATGAAGTTTAATTTTTCAACACAACACTTCCTTGTTTCTATACTTGAAATATAAACAATTAATACTGTTTAATATTTATCTTAATACTCTTTAATATAGTATTAATGTCTTTTGTTAAATATATATCAAAAGATATAGTTTTACTTAAATTGAGAATCATACCAAATTTCAAAGATTGTCTTTTTTGTAAAAGGTATTCTAACGAAATGGTGTTCAAATTATATTTGTACAATTATCAACTTATTATTTAATTCAAGTAATGAAGTCATTTCTCAAATAAAATCTGTGATAACTTAATACCACTGGAACGGTGTGGATTTATTAAGAATCACGTTTGCGATATCATTTTCACTGCGTCACTAATCGTAGTTAGTGTTTAACTCATTTAGCAGCATAGTGAGTCCCTGACACCTCTTCAGTGATTATGTTCCAAGTGATAAGTATCCTGAAATTTTTTTGTAGCTTGTAAAATGTAGATTTCCTAAAGATGTAACTTTTCATCAACAATCCCTGAAAGATAATTTAAAAATATTTATTTACATATAACGATATAAATATTTATTATACAATGTATGTAAAAAAGAATTAATTAAATTTAAAATTGGAATATAACCTTTAAGTTATATAATAATTTTAAGATATGGATACTTTCAATACTCTGGTAAGACTTTTATACGTCTTAATAATATCTTTTAATACCTTTTATTAGACTGTACTTTTTAAGAGAGACGTAGTCACACTTTTCAATGTAAAAATTACAAAGCGTCCAATAACATTCAATCTTTCCTTATGACGCGTCTCCATCATCAATCGTTTTGATGATACATCTTATCTGAATTGCTTGAAATACCATGTAGATGCAAATGCAGCGTACATTGCGGTCATCTGAAAGAACGTGATGTTTTTAGTGAGGCATATTAGAAACAAGTTGATAATTGCTATTTTATATTTTAAACATGCATGAGAATTTAAAATTATATATGCGGTAAATATATCATAAATATATATAAAAAATATTTAAATGGATATTTCACATGATTAATATAAAATACACACTTACGATATTTTTGGCTTCAAAATGGTATTTGAAAAATTCTTGTATTGCATCGTTCGAATGACCCAATAATTTAAAATATTTTTCCATGTAGTGTCACTTGTGTTTATGCTATAATGTAGTTTGTATTATGACATCATAATAAAGCTGTAGTTCCTCGATCATTCGACTAACCCCTTGCCTTCTATACGAGCTAATAGAATAATCGGGAGGGTCTGAAAGTCGAGGAATTCTTTCCCACTAGGGCAACAGGTAACTACATAAATATATATAAATATTATATAACGCAATACCTTCTTTATGATATAACACGTGCATTATCTAATGTATATTTAGATAATAAATCTTGTGAACATTTGTCGAATTACATTTTTTGGAGAAACGTGGATAGTATGATTGAAATAAAAATAATTGAGAACGTCGAGAAAAACAGCCATATCGGCATTTCCGTCTGTACATAAACACGATGTTATCGCTATGACATTTTTTGGAGAAACGTGGATAGTATGATTGAAATAAAAATAATTGAGAACGTCGAGAAAAACAGCCATATCGGCATTTCCGTCTGTACATAAACACGATGTTATCGCTATGACATTTTTTGGAGAAACGTGGATAGTATGATTGAAATAAAAATAATTGAGAACGTCGAGAAAAACAGCCATATCGGCATTTCCGTCTGTACATAAACACGATGTTATCGCTATGACGTTCAGGTGGCGGTACTACTTTTGACCACACTAGGGGGCGAGTCAGTTTATAGATGTAGTTTACACTGAATAGCCCTGAAATTGTGTCACTTACGCTACTATATGAGAATGGGTTATACGATTACTTTTTCCTTTACGATCACGAAGTTGGATAAAATAGAAATCGGATGATTAATAAATTATTATATATAGTCTATATTATACATGTGTAAATAATCACTCTACTAGGTTTGTACGATCAATTAGGTTATGTTAAAGACCGATTTACAGGTTATACTGCATATGTAGTAAACACAGCTTTTCTGTTATGATGTTCATGTGGTGGCACTGCTTTGAATCTTTTAGAGGAGAATAATTCTATATATCATATGTAACATAACATAAATGATATCGAATTTAACAGTTAAGGAAAAAGATTGGAATTTTAATTCTTCCTTATTTCTTATATATTTCTGTTAATTCTGTTAATTCGTTTTTGCAAGATCTGTATTGTACAAAAATAACGCAGTTTAGAAAGCGTTTAAAATGTTAAATTATTGTGTACACATAGGCTATTACGTTCTTTTGAGTTGCAAATAGCATATTTCTTACTTTCTATCAATTTTTTCACTTACTGAATTTTATGAGGAATATAAATTCACATATTTTTAATTTTATTTTGATTTAATTTCTTTTATTTTTAAAGGTAATTTAATAGATTTAATTTTATACTTTTTAATTTTTATGTTTATATCTACGTTTTTGTAACAGTTTTTTATGATCACAATAAACTACATTACTCTTAAAATTTATTCTTAATATTCCTTTGGTGAATTAAATTATATATAAAAAATATATATAGCTTCTGTTTTTAAGATACCTGAAACTTTTGATATTAATATGAATATGTCACCAGTATTGCATATGTACATCAGTATCATATTAATAGATCGATATCAATATGCTTTGATATCGATTTCATGTATATAATTTTACTATTTAGAATTTTACTAAATTAATATAAATTATTATAATTCAATTCTTTTAATAAGATGGAATTTAATATAAATTTGATTTTTTTTTTATAAATATAATATTTTTCACAATTTAATTTATTTGCAATATTTCTGAATTGTCATAGAAGTGGTAACACTGCTTTTAATCTAAAGACGCAACTTTAGCAACAAATGATTTCGATATATCGATTTTATCATATTCACATCTAAGTAAAAAATATTTACTAAATTTCTATGTCAAAGTTAGCGAAAAATTGTTAAATCAAGTACATTGACCTCATTCATCTGGTGTAACATTTATTAGGAGATAGGTTAATAAATAAGAAATTGTGTCAAATATTTTCATACGTGAGTAAAACAGGAAACAACTTTTTATACCAGTGAATTATCTATTTGTCGAGATATGCTCAGTAGAACCTTTCAAACACTATAACCATTACTTTGAACTGTAATATTTATTTTTATTATTTTTTTAGTTACATATCATATTAATTAAATAAATGGTGATATCGCAATATTATAGAATTGTAAGTTACTGGCGAAGTAATCGTGTCTTGAATAAATTTGACAACTACTGAAAGATTTAAAATAAACTGTAAATAAAAACGCTAACAGAATTAAGAATGCGAGTGCAAGGAAATGCGTTACGAGTACTATTATTTTTGTCTGTATTTCAAAGAGGTAAATTTTATAAATAAAATATCGTATTTATCAATAGTAGATAAAACAGAATATGTCTTAACCAAGTATAGATAAAATAGAAAGTAAACATATACTGGCTGCTAGGAATTGTTTCATGAAAATTGAAACAAATTTCAAACCTTTGTATCAAATTTTATTATATTCTGTTTTACAAATGTAAATAAGAAATAATATTAAAATTATACATAAAAATGTATTACTTAAGATACATTAATAATATTTATTTTTTGCATGTGTCGTGTAATTAATACGCGCAAAAAGAATCGAAAGCTATGAAGTGTTATCAATGTAACAGTGGAAAGGATACAGATTGTACTGTTAGTACAGTAGACGCAAGGTATTTGAAATCGTGTCCCCCGTCACAACCATTTTGTCGTAAAGCTGTGTATATATGTAAGTTGATAATATACATAATTTTTGCTTTTAAATTCATTGTCATTATTACTTTTAATAATTAATTACTTTTTATTTATTTATTAAGTTATTGTTTTTCTTTATTCTTTGAGATATTTCTATATATATATATATTTACAAACAGATCATGTGATTTACAGATTATTTTATGAATTCCCGAGATTATCTAACAGTACGCGAGTGCACAAAGTGGCGAAACGTTGATAAAGAATGTTATAGAGGTCGTTACACGCGTGACAGTTATCAACTTGTATGCGAGTGCAAAGGTGCAGGCTGCAATCAATCTACCAGATTCTCATCGACCACTACTATTTTCCTGTTTGTCCTCTGTCAATTTATCATTTTTCTCATTGGAAGTCCAACTTGACATGAACATATTGTTCGAAGAAAGAAATGTAATCCTTTTGATGGTCATGACGAAGAGAGTACTCAATATGAATAGAGTCTGACAAAATGACATTTAGTTATTAATATATTATGATAAAAGTCTAGTAAATATAAATGATTGCTTATATAACAAATATAGTAGAAATAATGTACGTATTTTGTTTAAAAAGGTATACAATTCGAGCATAAAAATAACATTCTATAAATTAAAAAGAAAGAAAACAATCCTAAGTAAATGGATATGCTGTGTAATTATAATTTTTTAGAACTTATACAAATTAAAAAAGTTAGTAAATAAAGAAATTGTGTTATTTCTTAGCTCAGTGTAATATTTTCCAAATTTAATGCGACAACATTTTATGTGCATTTATATATAAATTGTCTCTTGCTTAGTAATACGGAAGGAGGTCGATCGCTGTTTACATTCATTTCTAGGAAATTGACCCGTTAGTATGAAAAGTGTGTATGAAATATGTGTGCGACAAAAAGTCAAAAGAACATATAACATGTTCAATTTTCTTATTTTTAATAGTTCCTAGTATTTAGATGATGATTTATATACAAATTTTTATATTAATTTTAGTTTTTATTTAATTAGTGCTCTTCCATAATTTATTGAATTAAATTGCTTCATAAAACTAACATTTTCCAATTATTATATAATATATGCATTCTCCTCTCTATTCCATCTATGTCATCTTACTTCAACAACTTCGTCTCTTTCCAAATTGTGAAAGTAATTGGATCAGTCACTAGGTCTATCTAAAATATATCTTTCTTTATTGGTTAAGACTTGATACTTTTTTCTCCCTCTGATATGTTCACGAAAATAGTTCATTCTGTCCTCTTTGTGTCGTGACGTCAACAGTGGTTTCCCTTCAATCGTTTCCTTTGACTATTCTTCGATTTTTATAAAGCTCATAGTTCGTTTCATACCCGATTTGTCGCGATATTAATTTGAATGGGAACAATTTGCATGAGGGTATATAATTTTCTCATATTGTACCAGCTTCGTGAAACACTAAAAAAGTAAATGTATAATTTCTATAATCAAGAGCCATGTTTCTCCATCTTTTCAATCTTCATTTCCTCAAGGTCACTGATATTGCAGGGACATATATACATATGTACTTACATATTCCATCATATGCTGTAACGTTAAAGTATACTATATTTTAAGATGCATTCAAACAATTTAGTAATTAAGTATGCATGTTATCTGATTTATCACTTTGAGCATAAGAAAGTGATCAAATTTCAAACCAATATTACCATGGTAAATACGTCAACTTACTGTTTATGTTACTAATGCTCGGATGGTAAGTTACTCGTAGTTGAGGTACGGTCGGGTTAGTCGGTTATTCCCACCAAACTCGCGACAAATTGTTAGGAACAATTGTTCGACAAACCGCATTCCGACCATCTACCCACGTCATCCTTATTATTACATCTGGTTGGTAGAACTTTTTCGAAGGGACATTCCGTGGGTGTCGTTGGCTGATTTATCAGCATGAGAAAAGTTTCTTTCTTCCTCTCTTAATGTCTTCCTCGATACGATATTTTTCTGCAAAACAGGATATTTCTCGCGACGAACGCGACCCCACGCAAGCAGCCACCGACGATTGTCGATACGCGCACACGCAGAGGGAAAATTGTTCTCTGCTATAAGTTTCACAGTTGTGTGTGTAAACGCGTGTGCGTTCGTCGCGCTATCGCGTGACAGTCACGGAGACACATAGCGAAGTAAATGAGAGGCCATACGAAAAATCGTCGATACGAAGGCCTCGTAAAATCTACGACACGAGCGGCGAATAATAATGTAACGTAGAAGAGACTGGCTGCATCCAAGATTCAAACCAAATGTAGGTGGTGTTCGGTCATTCTTCCTCGTCCTCCATCACTCGCAACAGCGTCTCCGACCCTCCTTCGCCGACAGTATTATTACTATTTGGGTCGCGGCAATGTGGCGCCAAGCATCCTGACGCTCCCCGAGCACTTTTCACCAGCTATGCTTTCATTATTGCGCACCAACGATTCTTGCTTGCGGATTACAGGAATTTTCTACGTTTATGCGTGACCCGATCTCTGTCGAAACAAAAGTTGTAAAATTATTTAAACGACTATGAGATAAGTTCATTGTTTGGTTATACTTTATTGCACAGAATTTTTTTTTAGTATACGTGTATTCATATGATTGTAGGGGTGACTGGCGCCATGAAAGCAATTTGTCCTATTTGATTTAGCTCTCCAGTTATATGAAGATAATTTTACGTTTCAATATTTATTGACGCAAGCTAGGTTAGTATAATTGCTTTCACTCAACCGTTTTATGTAAAAATTATCTATCTGATTGATTATTTACAGGCACTTTTATGGTATCAAATGTTGTTACGGAATTAATATAGAGGTTATCAAAAGTCGTATATATCTAAGGTAAATGCAGGAATCTGTTTTAATTACGTGCATGAACCAAATACAGAAATTTTTGTAAACGATGAATGAGGTAATGGGAAAATAAGAAAAGTATTAATGATAAATAGTTATATAGGTAAATAAAATTATATGATAATATTATTGAAATAAATAGCTATTTTTAATTTAGAAATTGAGTTAAACAGGAAAAGTATTTTTTGATTAGGTTTGTATTGTTAATACAGTCGAGGTGTTTTGAAACATTCTGCATTGTATTTACTATTTACTATTATTACTTTTATTTCATAACAATATTATTCATAACCATTATATGTAATAACAGCATTTATATATTGACTGTTATAATAATAACATTAATATCATAGTATATTAATGATGAAATTACTATTATATATTTCCTTTTCTTTTAATTTTTCAAAGTTTAATAAATTATAATAAATAATAAATAAATAAAAAGTAATTTCAAAGTTTCCTGCTACCACTTTATACAATTCGAATTTTAATTGCTTTTCTTGTTTTAATAATTGAATAATAGTTAACGAGTAAAGTTTTCATCTACTGTCTGAAGTTATGGATTAGCATAAATATTTCTCAGTGGAACGCTCTTGACTTACATTTTAAATTTATCAATAATTATTTACATTTTCACTAATGCATCTGTAATGTTTTTCGAATTCTGCATAATCCGTTACATATTTTCGTTGATTAATTTTTCAAAAATTTTTCAAAGATTAATCCGTGATAACGAGTCGCACATAGACATTCATTGTTTCAGAATTCGTTGATTGTCTGCGAAAACGATATTCAACACGCGTTGAACGTATGCCAAGGGCATTATCTGCATTACAGAACATTTCTCAGCTCCGAGAATAACTTGTTACTAGGGTAACGGGTATTATAATGCTGATACCACTTTGGGCTTAAATTTATTGGTTTATCGTGATGTTTTCTAGCGTGTCCTTAAGGCGGATCCCTATATGTTTAATATGCAGGGTGTCCTGTAACTAGTGGTATAATACGATGATTCTACATAAAGACATCAGTGGAAAATATAGAACCAAATTTCTTTACATGATGCTTTGCTTTCGGCCATATTGATTTTAAATATTTGTGGGTTAGGTTAGGTATACCTAACTATATTTATTTAGCTATTAGACTTAACCAATATTGTTATAATCTAATATATTTATTTATTCGCAGAAATTAAGAATTGTTTGCGACAAAGTATTCTCGGAAATTTATTATGAATATCAGAATTGTGTATATAACAGAATTTTCAATGTAAATATCCTATGTTCTTATTTATTTCACATAATGAACACGAATATGCGTGGTGATATTATTTTATAGTGATGTTTATCAAGTTCAGTTATAGATAAGTCCACGTTTATTAAACTTATATTAATATTTACCTAGAAATATTTAAAATTAATTTTCTTGAAAACGAAGCTTTGCGTAAAAATATTTGATTATACGTTTTCGACTTACTTTCTCACGAAGAATTATTTTTTTATCGAATATTAATTGTACACATTCCCTGTACATATTTAAAATCAATTTTTTCGAAAATAATACTTTATATAAGGAAATTTTATTTTATGATTATGATTTTTTAATGTAATTTCATTATTTTTCAGCATGTTGTTATGTAAGAAATTTATTATTTAAAAAATAATATTTCATATTAAACAACTCTGTTCTACATTTTTAATTTATTTTTTAATGTAGGATCAAGACCTGGCTGGATATTAAGGTGACGTTTCTATGTGTATACGTATAATCTGACTTCAACTTGAGTAATTTAAAAATAAAAGAAGGGTAAAACTTCTAGAGTGTTTATAATTTATTCTTTTATTCTTATTATATTCTTTATATTTTTATCCTGATTTTAATTAGATGAAACTAAAATTTCTATTTAAAATATATTTTTTAAGAGTTAAGGGATCATTTATACCTTTTTATTCTTTGTATTTAAAAAAGATAGTTTTATTATATTTAATTTAATTTGGGATAATCCCTCTATGAAATTAAAAATTTGCAGGATTCTTTGATCATGTAGCCGCTATAATAAAGTATGTTTGAATATCAGCTAAGCAATTTGCTATCTCCTTGCATATATTATTTTTAATACTGAATGAGTAATTATCAATAATTTCTCTTACCATAATTTTTTAATTAAATAATTCAATTTTTAATTCACGTTGAAATATTATTTGCTTCATTTAAGGAAAAAGAGTGTTTGTAGTTCAAGCTGTTGTACATTAGTACCATTTTTTGTGCAGTTTCATTATAATGAGGGTTACATTGCTGTTTGTTATGTATTTTTGTATCTCCGAGATAATATTGACATTTACTCCCCATTGTCAGAGGAAATGAGGAAACGCAGTTTCCACTACTATTTCACATGGAACGACAAAACTAAAGCATTTTCCTCTATAGGGAGAGACACTATAAATGTAAAATACGAATAACATATGAAAAATATCAGTGTGAAGGGAATATCTAATTAAAAGATAAATACAAAAATTAGTTTGTAATGGAAATTTA